TAAACTTTCTGAAAGTACCTGAAACACGCCAGAATTTGTGCTGTAAGCTGCATCAATCAAAGGTTTATCGGATTCGGAGCAGTAAGCAAGACATTCAAGCAAGAAAAAAATCCTGCTGAATTAACTTAAAGGTGTTTTGATAATATATTAGAAGTTATCTAAAATAAATACAACCTGTAAATATCTGAAATTTTTTGATAGGAAACAGTAGATTCTATTAATAAAGTTTCAGCAAGAAAAGTTACAAATCCTCTCTAAGGTGGATAAGTCATCCAAGCAAAGATAGGTGAAAACAAACAGCAGCATACAATTGGAAATGAAAATGCTACATTCCACACGAGGCTGTCCAACTCACAGTAATACAAAAAAAATCTGGTCCCATAGTCCTTCCATCTCCTCACTTCTATCCTCAAAGATGCTTACATTCCTATCTAACCAAATGACCCAAATAGTAGCAAAAAACGCATAATTGCCAAAGGGTCTTCATCTTCCTATTTCCATTTTCCACACCAACCCAATCCAAAGACATCATATAAGACATGGAGCCAGGCGCCACCCAACTATCTGAAATGACAGCTAATAATATGAATTTGGTAAAATCTTACGACTCTTACCATTAAACTGAAAAAAATTTCTCCAAAAAGGACCAATATAGAACACAAGATATTATCCTTCTCCCATGGAACCAAAAATCCAGTTGCCCATATCTAACCCTAGTTCAATTTAAGGTCCAAGAAATCAAAGCTTTGCTTGGGTCACTATTATTGCAAGTTAACTATGCCAACCACTCTATCAACAAAAGAATCATGAGGAAAATAATGAAACATATATATAGCACTGGCCATTTTTATAAATTGTGTGCATTCAATTCAGAACTGGTAGTTTTTGGACATGGTTGAGTTGCAATAAACGTCTTTTGTTTTTGAAGTTATTCTTAAGAACCTTAGCCAGGGAAAATGCGAATATGTTATATGAAAATGTTGTAAAAAGTGTGTTTTCTTAGTGTGACTTTTGCGTCGTAAGAAGTGGAAGCGTGTTGTAACGGGTACCAGAGCTTCAAGGTTGTAAGTTTAATTTGTATCAACCAGTAAGCAATACGTTAGCATATCTTTTTTTCCTTAACTTCATCTATCTCCACTATTTGTGTACTATAGGTTTGAAGCTATGCTCAATTTCATTTCTACCAGCTGAAAAGCCCTTATACCTGTTAATGTAGCTTTAGTCATACATTTACATCTTTATGCATTTATACTATATAGGTTTGATTTCCAACAGGTGAAAAGCCAATAAACCTGTTAGAATTGATATAGCGTGTTTAGCCATTTAGGGAATAGGTTTTAGAAACCTAACACAAATTAATAGGAGGTCTTAGGTGAAAACCAACATCAAACTCTGCTACTCCATATGCCTCTTAAGAATGTACGTGTTATTTATTCAGTTCATTTCGTTACGAAAAGTTTAGTCTTTTGTCTTGTTTCAAGGTTTTATACTATTTTTTGTACATCTAGATACATAGCTTCGGTCAACTCAAAAAATGAAAGCATGTTAGAAATGTTTCAAAGACAAAATGAACATTAAAAAATTTTATATTTACAAAGCATTGGGAGAAACATCACAAAACATTCCGAAAGATTCTCAAACTTAGGAATTTCAATTTACCACCACTGTTTCGTTCCAGTTACACCGAAACTGAAACGTTTTGGTCTAAATACCTAAATGAAACAAACTTTTGGTTCTTGCTTGTCACCTTTTTCAGTGATTGAATATTGAAGAGTAACAAATTAGTTTCTTTTCTCCTTCAATTCAATAGTTTGATCTAGGTATTCATGGTATCAAAGCAAAATTTCCATTTATCTTATTGCCAACCATTTTTTATGTTGCTATTTTTCAATTAGTTTGTTGATCTAGGTTGTCATCATATCCTTAACTTCTATATTTGCAAGCAAATATATTTTGAATTTCTTTTATTTACATATTTTTTACCATGTTTTCCAAACACGTCTCTTTTTTATTCACTAGAAACCTCTATTATTTTTTTTAATAAATTTATCATCGTTTTTTTTTAATTAACAACAAATTTCATGACACTTTTGCATTTAATTTCTTTTCTTCGTTCTCCAATGAGTTTTAATAAAGACATGAAATAAGCTTACTCGTCAATGAGAGTGAAATACTAGAATAACTAAAACACCTTTAGCTTGATTAATTGATGAAAAGTAGCCAAGGGTCAGGGATATAAATCGTAGCGAAAAAAATAATAATACAAGTTTGAGTAGTCCTATTCACCCTCCTCTATGACTCTTTTCAAATGGTATCATACATGATGCAAGATATAGATGCATCTTAACCATCATGCAAGACCTCAAAAACACAAAAAGCAAAATGCATGAACTCTAAACCACATGCAATGATGATTACTCTTTACTTTGTACTTTAAATTCTCAAGAGAACTATTAATTTCATCTTCTTTCCATGTCTCTTTTTTTAGCATTTTATCCTTAAATAAAACTAATTTTTTCTCCTATTAAGTTCCACCATCTAGTAGTTGGATTATTAATTTCTTTTCTTAGTCTCAAAGAATTAGTACATGCAACTTACAACCTCAAACGATTTTTATTACGTGCATCTAGAATTGTTGCTTATTTTTTGCAGTCAAGCTTTCTCCTAGAATAACCTTACACTCGTTTGATGATAAATGATACACTATTCTAATCAAGAAAAAAAATCTGTTTGACTCTTATTTAATCCACTTGTAAAGGTGATTAAAGGTTCATTTCTCCTTTCCAAACAAGCTTTTACTATAACGAGATCATATGGGAGTACAAAATCTAATACAAACTCCCTAGCATCACTATTATCTCCAACCCCATGCCCACCAGGGACTATTTCACATCCTTTATAATCTTTTCCTATATAACTACTATCGTTTGTATATTCCATTTCCTACAGGTACTCACATTAGTTCATCGCCAATAATTGAGTTTTCATATTTTCTTCCAAACCTACTTGAGATGCAAAAGGTGTGCTGATATTGATTATATTTTCTATATTGCAAGCTCGATTAGTATTATTCTATCTCCTTGACCTTTGACGGAAATTACTACTTGTTTAAGATTTTGATATAAAGTCTATAACATGTAGTATTTCACTTGTTTTCTCTCCTACCCATTTAGTTTCCAGTAAGCATGTTATGTCGAATTTCCTCCTAATCATGGCTTTAGTTAACTCTATTATACTTGTCAATGTACCTACATAATTTGGTTGCTAATCTAAATACTTATACTTGCATACATTTCATTGCATCCGAACGTCTAAAATGCAATGACCCTTGCCCATTGTACAAAACACCGAGATGCAAAAAGCATCGTTTAAGGAGAATGCCACACTTAGGGTTATTAAACAAACGGAGTAGCTCAGGCTCAACTCGTTTTTGGCGTGCTCAAGCTCATTCGTTTTACAAAATGTTTCGAATTTAATCAAATTTCTAAGCTTGTTTTGTATCCGAGCCGAGCTACTCGCGAGCCATCTCGTTTATAATTATATTTTAATTTAAATTTTTTTTATTCAAAAGGCTGAATGATAGCTTTTTCCTACTTGTTAGCCTATAAAGGGTGCACCTTGAGCTTCACGCCCACTGACCCCCATATGATGGTTGCCTGCACTACTCTCTCTCTCTCCATGTGATGCTCGACTACTCTATTTCTATCTCATAAAACTTAATGCCTTGAGCCCCAAAAACAGCCCCAACACTGACCCTCCACTGTCCTCTTCCTCCCCCCCCCCCTCTTCCTCCACGAAAATTCTTCTCCTCTTCCTTTGATTTGCATCCATGGGACTCTTCCATACCAACTTCTCAAGACTCTCGATTTTCATATCTACAGAAAATTACTACAATCATCATCTCCAAGTCAAACTCTTGATCAAGAATCATCACCCCCAACATTCCAACGAGGTGATACCAGAAGTTGTAGTAGCTAATCATATCATCAAATCCCATATGGTGTATACAATATTATATACCATATATATGGTGTATATTTATAAATTTTGTTTAATTTTTGAATTTTGTTGTTGTTAGGGTTTGTATATAGATTTGGATTTGTGTAAATTTTAACTTAAATATATGAATTTTAATTTGTGATTTGGAACTTGTGGTTATGAGATTTCATATTTTTAGAGTGTGGATTCAACATTTAAGTCTTAGAACTCGGTTTGGGCTCGAACTTGTGCCAAGCCAAGCTTGAATAGAAATTTAGGCTCGGTATCCGAGCCCGAGCCCGAGCCAAGCTTAAATAGCCACCAAAAAACTCAAGCCGAGCTTGAGTATACCAAACCTCGAAAGGCTCGGGTTGATTAACACCCCTAGCCACACTATCCATGCATATATATATCCTTAGGATCCATCTTGATAAGTTTTATGTTGATTGTCAGCTATAACTAATTCGATAGTACTATGAGAGACTATATAACTAACTGTTTGGTGGCCAAAATGAAACTCAATAGACCTTAATTCCAAGTGCCAACTACTTCAGAAAGGGAGCTCCATCACCAGAATCACTTCCTTAGGCCTAAACCATTTTTCTTAAACATCCCTCCTGTAAAGTGAACCAATTGGTTAGACCCTTTCCAATCACAAATTCACTTGAATTGCATGCTAAATACGTGTGCACGGCATGTTACAGAAATTCAAGTTTGTAAATTTTAACACCGAAACCAAAGTAAAAATAAGTGCAGATTTGATTGAACTGACCAATATCAACAACTATTTCTAGCACTAGATATATGAATTTTCTGATGCTACGTTGGTTTAACCAGGAAGAACTTACTCATTTTCCATAAAGAAGATGATAATCAAGTTCTTTAATTTGATACAACTTGATCCCATGTCACATCCAAATGTTCATTTGTAACAAGTCAAAACAACTATATTAAGTTACAAGATAAGTTCGTATGTTTTTTAGGAGCCAAATAAAACATCGAAAAAGACTTCCACCAGCCTATCAGTGCGCAAAATTTATCAACACCTTACCATCAAGTTTATCATAGGCTTCTTCAGAAATTGTGTATTTCTCCACCAGTGAGGTGTCCTCCAGCCAGCCACCAGAGGTTACAGATGATGGATCCAGATCAATAACATGTAACCGATAGCTATTATAAACAAAATAAAGAAGACAATCAAAATAAATAAGCCAAAAGAATACTCTAAGAAAAAGAGAAACCGGATCTTTCCAAGCAGATTACACTAACTTTTGCCGGGTTTTTTTTTGGGTGCGGGGAGGTGGGGGGAGTAAAGAGGATTAGTTATAATCTCAAGCAAATGAAATAATCAAGAAATAAAATAAAGATATCTTCATCCATGAAGTGAATATAAACTTAATCATTCATGAATTCAACAGCTTAGTTCCACTTTTGGCCTTTATCACAAATTGATCTCTGTTAAAAAAGATAAAACAAGAACAGAAATTTGACAATAGACAAGTACATCTCTGAGAAGTGGGAAATTAATGATTACACCAGATGCAGCTGTCAAACTATAGTGATTTCAAAGCCACAAGCTGAGTCAATAAGAAATTTGTGTATTATCATAAAACACCCATGCTGATTTGGTTGAATTCCCCATATGATGGTAGATTAGCAAGTGGTCAAACATCAAAAGAAACCCACTCAAAATCCAAAGCGCAGAGCCTCCAAGAGAAGTAGAAAAAGATCCTCAAAATCAAAGCTCAGACCCTCAAAGACAAAGGCCACTTCACAGCCGTCTTGGGGGATGCTTCTAATATATTTTGCCATCCCTCAAGTTGACCACTAAGAAGATCCTAAATATATAACTGAAAATTTTTCTTTGCACCCAAGGAAAATTCAAGCAAACAACAACTCGAAGCATTACGGAGAGAACAGTGACAATTGAACAATTGTAATGAGGAAGAGAAATCAAGGAGGCCTGCCAAACTCGTAAAATACACCAATAGGGATTAGAGAACAATTAAATACTAATTCCTCATCACGCAATGTAAGGGTAAAATAAACAATAACATGCTCCAAAACACTTAGTTTTACAAAATGAAAAGTAAGCTGGCATCCAACATATTCCATACCATTTTCAGGGGTAATCTTACCAACATGTTCTCATGATATTAACCTTACAACTAAACTCTGAATATGATTTCTCCTAATGCTATTAAAAAAAAAACAGTCAAGGACATCAAGCAAGATATACACAAATATAGAGGGTGGAATATCAGCAAGGTTGTAAATGAGGGGGATATCTCATACATGCTTTGATTCATATATTCGTCCCCCACAAAAAAAAAAAAATTAAGTGCACCAAATGATGATGTCCCATTTACTAGTACCGTAATCCTATCTATACGATATCATTTTTCCCATCATTAGCACATACATGCATATCATGTTTTTTCCAAGATCTACGTAATACTACTTACTCGAAAATCTAGATATAAAAACATATAATTGAGATAGACCAGGCATGAAGCTAAACCAAGCTTTAATTGATGTTATCATGGAACGAGGCTTTCATTCAAACTTTAAGTGACACTACATGCTTGAGATACATATGGTATCTTATCCAATGTGACATGGTTTAAAATTATATTTTGGCATTTTGAATGTCATAATTTCTGTTAATATGCAATATTTTGATCAAGTGAAATAAGGTAAGATTAGCAGAAAAAATAGATTTAAAACTAACCTATCTTGTGGAGAATAAAAACCAAGGGGTCTCGTGTTATCACTTAGGTCTGAAATTTTAACACCGGTGTCATCATAGAGCTCAAGGCACATTGAATTAACAGAGGTACCACATTTTTTCCAAAGCTTCTCTTTTACAGCTTCTACTGTCATCTGAAAACAAGAAGTCAAAAAACTGGATGCCAAGCCCATGACAAGTAGGTAAAATAAAGGAAGAAAATTACTGTACATCAAAAGCAATCAACAAGAATGTGTCACCCAAAATCCCATTTAGAGGAAAAAGGAAGTAATGGAATCCCAGCAAATTATTAAATGCTACCTATACCACATCTCCTGATGAACTGGATAAATATAATACTTGTGTCTAAAAAAAAACGTAAATATATGAAGGGGAGATAGGGAACTCATTCTTATCGAAATTCATCACTTATCAAAATTCATCAGATAATAGTGCCAGGACAAACTTGTTGACAGATTAGGAAAGTCTTTCCATCAGGGGGCCAGTTACCGACTCAGAACGTAGCTAGCTTCAGAACTGGCTAGGGCTTTAACTAAAATCCTGGGACTTTATTCTTCTCCCCTACTGAGCCATTTAAAGTCTCTATGACATGCTTAGTTTTCATGCAGGGGTTCTAGGTGTCATGCAACTACGTAATACTGTTTTGTGCAAAATAAAATCGATGATATTGGGAGGAAGGGATGGTATAACTTTTGACATCAGTTGCACAAAGTGGTTGACATTCAAAGCACAACCTTTTGGTCGTAGCCCAACACTTTTCCCACTTGCCACTGGCCCTTGTGTGTGTGTGCATGTGTGTGAACATATTGGAGGAAAAATATTTCCAATCAAAAATAGATAGCATGAAACTTCAAAGCACAAATTCAACTAAGCTATACGGTATAAATGCAGTACAAGACAAACTCAAACTGAAGGAAGAGTTTATTAAACAATACCTGAAGTGAGAAACGAACATAAGCAGAGAAGCTCTTGAGATTGGAATGAGTTACACTCAATAGAACCGATTCATCCCCCTGAATTTGTAAGGCGGAGGCCATGGCCTTGAGAGTCAACCAACTTGTGTTGTTTTGTAACTGCGACTTCACGTGTTCACTTGTTTCAAACTATTGGCCAGTTCTCTTTGTTTCAAAAACAAAAATCAAAATCAGCAACAAAACCCTGGCCATGGATAATCAAAAAATTGACCACCTAATTCACAGCCGGATTCAAAAATCAAACAATGTGCAATCCTACTACTGCATTTAACCCAAATCTACCGAACTCCATCCAATTAAAAATTCCAGAATTGAACCTAATTGAAAAACAAAATCTATATTACAGAATTGCAAACTAGAATTTTCCAATCCATAAAAAGTTCAGTATAATTAATAACTAAAGTCCAACTACCTCAAGAATGTCCTTCGTATGCTACTAAATTTGCAGCCTCTGCTCTGATGCTCTTTAATGTAAATATATCTCGGGAAGGTCTTAAATCTTAATGCAAATACCTCGACAAATTTATGGAGAGAGAGAGAGCCGAAAATCACTGGGGAAAGTGTCACTGCTGGAGTTTTGAACCAGAGAGGGAGTCTGATTTAGGGTCGGGCTTTTCAATTGCCAAACCCATCACCCGAGTTCGTTTACCAAATAGTTCACCTAAAATTTTTTTTTTAATCAAATTAATGCATTTCAAAACTTACTTTCCAAGTTTAAATACTTTTTGAATACATCTATGTATATCTATATTTATACTATTTATGAATGTCAACATTTGTAAAAAAAATTTGATTTTCTATTTTATATTTAATTATTATTAAAAAGTCAATTACATTCACATATTTACTTTCATTCAATTTTTAATATTTTCTACAGCTATTTAACTTCTAAATTCTTTTAAACTCTTTTATTAGTAGTATTTGAATTATAAATCCTTTTGGAAAAATTTATTAGTAGTACTATTACATATAATTTTCTATATCTATATCTATTTATATAAAAATTAAAATTCAATTCATACTCTATTATTATATACATGTTGTTGGTAAATTAAATTTTGTTGTCAAATATATATTACATTTAATTTTTTTTATATGCTACAATATCATAATATTATGATACAAACAATAATTTACAATTTTATCAATCTCTTTGACAACAAAAATTATAATAATATATTTAGATATACAAATACTCAAGAATGACTTTACAATAAAACTTCACTATAAAGAAAAGAGAATTTGTTAAAAAAAGTATGAAAAATGCTTAAAAATGACAAATTAAATATATATATTTATCTATATAATAAAGTAGAACGAATTTGAATTTTGGAGATAAAAAGTGGTCTAGATCGTTTCATAACAAAAAAAAATATCATATAACGAACGACGTTATCACAAACTGTCTCGAGCTATTGACGTCTTTGATCTGACATACCACATTAACTCTTTTGAAATATTTTTACAACTTAAAATTTATAGTTTCCAAAAATGATATTCCAAAATTTAATTCCTCTAAATATTTTCCTTAAATCAAACAAATATCTCTCTCGCATTCCTCTGTATCTCTCTTACGCTCTATTAACGCAAAAAATATCAATTTTTCACAATTTTTTTCTCTGTATTTGATGAAAATATCACAAAAATATTATACAGTATTTGATTTAAACAAATACTACATCTCTCTATAGATAAATAATATATATCACAGAGAGAGATAGTATATTATAAAAATATTCATCTGTATCTCTCTCTGAAGGAAAATTATATAATAAATATTAGATAAATAGTATATATCAGGAAAATATTCCTCTATATCTCTCTTTTTCATTCAAGCAATACTAACAACACGAATCATACAAATTTAATAGTCAATTTTATTTTTTCTATAATCAATAAAAAAAAACATAATTTTGCAAAAAATCTAATTTAACAAAGAAAATATCTATATAATAAAGTATAATAAATTTGAATTTTTGAGACAAAGAGTGGTTTAGATCGTTTCATAACCAAAAAAAAATCATCTAACGGACAACGTTATCCCAAATTGTCTCGGGCTATTGACGTCTCAGATGGTTTTGATCTGACGTACCACATTAACTCTTTTAAAATATTTTTGCTGCTTAAAATTTATAGTTTCCAAAAATGATATTCCAAAATTTAATTCCTCTAAATCTTTTCCTTAAATCAAGCAAATATCTCTCTTGCATTCTTATGTATCTCTCTTACGCCCAATTAACACAAAAACTATCAATTTTTCACAATATTTTCCTCTGTATCCTTATTTGTATCTCATGAAAATATCACGAAAATATTAGATAGTGTCTGATTCAAACAAATATTATATCTCTTTATAAATAGATAATATATATCACAGAAAGAGATAATATATTATAAAAATATTCTTCTATATCTCTCTCTGAAGGAAAATTATGTAATAAATATTAGATAAATAGTATATATCACAAAAATATTCTTCTGTATCTCTTTATTTCATTCAAGCAATACTAAAAACACGAATCATACAAATTTAATAGTCAATTTTATTTTTTCCATAATCAATAAAAAAAAGCATAATTTGCAAAAAATCTAATTTAATAAAAAAAATATGTTTAACATATAAAATATACAAGAATAAATTCAAGTTTATATCAAGAGATATACTAAAGAAAATATGTTTAACATTTAAAATATACAAACACGAATCATATAAATTCAATATTTAGTGAACAACACAAAGCAACAATATTTACTAAATAATCTAAATCTAAATACTCGAGAAAAATGATACAAAATTATAAGCGAGAGAAACGATATAAAATTATAAGCAATATTATAAATACGAATCATATAAATTCAATATTTAGTGAACAACACGAAACAACTATTTTTACTAAATAATTCAATACTAAATAACGTTTAGTTTAAGAAAATATACTAAAAATATAAATAACAGAAAAGAATGATATAAAATTAAAAGCACTACTATAAACTCGAATTATTCAAATTCAATAGTCAATTTTGTTTCTCATAATCAATAAAAAAAAGCATAACTTGCAAAAAATCCAATTTAATAAAGAAAATATGCTTAACATGTAAAATATACAATATTAACTTCAAGTTATTGGGCAACTCAGATATCAAGAGATATATTAAAGAAAATATGTATAACATTTAAAATATACAAACACGAATCATACGAATTCAATATTTAGTGAACAACACAAAGTAACAATATTTACGAAATAATCCAAATCTAAATACCGAAGAAAAATGATACAAAATTACAAACGAGAGAAATGATTCAAAATTATAAGTAATACTATGAATACGAATCATACAAATTCAATATTTAGTGAACAACACGAAGCAACAATCTTTATTAAATAATCCAATAATAAATAGTGTTTAGTTTAAGAAAATATACTAAGAATATAAATAACCGTGAATAATGATATAAAATTAAAAACACTACTATAAACTCGAATCATACAAATTCAATAGTCATGTCGTATCTTTTAAAAGTTGGTTGAATTTTTTATAGTTATATTTGGTCATTTGACAACATCTGCAGACTTGGTTTATTTGTGGGAGTATTATTTTAATTTTCATTCCATTAGTTATGAATTCTGTTATTATTTAGATAAAGTTGATTATGAATATTAAAATCGTAGATTTTGAATAAAAAACAGAACATTGAATATTGTCAACTGATATATTTTTTCAAATGTTTGAATTATTATGTGTAAGTAGTTATAACAGAATTTTTGTAGTATAACAATTTAATATGAAAATATATACTATGCATGTAGGTAGATGTTATAAAAAATATTAGCGGACTCATTTTGTTCGTCGTTTGCTACAATGTTGTATTTTACTTTACATTTATGTATGAACAAATATTTGTAACTAATTTACGAGTAACACCGTGCCTTTAGGCACGGACAATTGCTAGTCCATCTATACTGTATTAGACTGTATACTTTTATCTAATTCATCCAATTTTAATACGGTAACCAAACGAGCTCATAAAGTGTACTATTTGGATAATCATTTGAAATAAGACTATATATAATATAAAGTATTTTTTACGACCAAATGCAGTATAAGGTTAGATTAGAAAGTTTTAATCAGGCAAAATCTATAATTCACCCTTTAATATTGTAACTAAATGATCCCTATCTTTTTCATTGAAAGAACTCTTATTAAATCATAAAATTTACAAGGACTTTTCTTTTTTAAATCCTCTTCAACACTTTCAAGAGATTCTTTTCTTGCTTCTCCTCTAAAGTTGAGCTTATGACCACCGAGAAGGTTTTGTCATCCCCGAGGTATGCATACTTGAGATTGGATGGTAATGACTTTAACTCCAAAATGAGATTTTGTACGGTTGAAACGCCACCTAAAAATGTTTCCCACTACTTAAGCTTACACTTCATAGAGAGAAGGAAAAAATTTCAAGTGAATTAGGGTTTAAAATGGGTAGAGTTTCGTGAAAGTCTATTACCTCAAAAATGGTTATATACATATCTAACTTGGTTATATACATACACGACTTATTTATAATCATATATAATCAGGTTATATAATATTGGGTTTGTGTCATTTATAAGACGTGTATAATTGAATTTGAAGCTTGTATAATTATTTAAATTTTTTTAGGAGAAAATTAATACCCAAAATATGTTATTTAAATTTCATATCGAAATGATAAACCCTCATTGGTGGGGATCATGAAGTCTGTAATCGCGTCCATTACTCCTCTTCAAAACGAATCTAGCTAGGTTAACATAGCGATTAATCGTCGAGCCTCAATGTTGACTCCAAGACTCGAACCTCTAACCTCAGAGCGAAAAGTTCTGCCAGCAGTTTGTACATAATATTTGTTTAGTTCTTGAACTATCAATACTTAGGGTGTGTTTAATAACGTTTTTGTCATTATGTTTTTTTTTATAAGAAAAACAGAACTAGTGTTTATTTTTTCTATAATAAAAATTAAAAATATAAAACATGTTTGGTAGTCATTTATATTTAAAAAATAGTAAAAACAAAAATAAAAAACC